ATAAATAATTGTCGACAACGGATTGGTATCAATAACTCGAATTGTTTCACAGGTTTCAGATGAATCTTGTACCATTCTTTTTCACGCCCCCTCAAATGAAAAAACAAGTAACTAATCCATGAGTTTGAAGTTTGTATAGTTTTGCCATATATTGTGCTTAAAAACAACTGTTGGTATTGTGTGGTGGAAATTCGAACACAAGACATTTTGAAACTAATTAGTTCCACTAATTTGAGTTCTTGTAAGAGGTATCTTGATGATCAGCATACATGTTTCGTTAGGATTATGTGTGTTTCTTTCTTTCCCCAAATATGAGAGATCATTTTCGAGGACCTGTTTTCATCAAAATAAACTTAGTTGTTCGAAGAGAATCAAAATTATAAATTTTAATTATCACTCTTTCACACGGCTCTCAAATGAAAAGTAACTCATTTAAATACTCACCATAATTGATGTTTAAATCAACTCTTAATATTGAGGGTCTTCATTAAAGATTTTCCTACGTGATTTCTAGAACAAACCTTTGATAACATATCGAAAACCAATTGATCTTGATTAGCTTAATTATTAAGGAGGCTCAAATATAGATGTTATAAGCAACGTTTAAATTTTCCAAAACATAATTAGTTTTGCTTTCAATTGCCCCATTCTTCCTCCCCTTTTCTCTTTTCCCTTGTACTGTTTTTTTTGGGATTAGGGTTCCATAATGCTAAATGGAGAGAGGTGGATTCAACCCCATTATGTCTCCCTCTATTATTATTGATTAGTAGCTGATCATTTATTTGTTAAAGTAAGACATGCAATCAACACAGCTAAGAAAATGTCTATTTTGCAAAGAATTACAAAAGCATCCACAAGTGGATGGCTAGAACAAACTTATGTGCTGATATCAATGTGAAGAATGTAAAGTTTTTCTACACCTAGGGATCGAATTTGGAAAGCTGAAATTAGTTGGAGGTCTCTTTCTATATCTATGCTCAAATTAGGGACTTCAACCCAATAAATTTGAAGGGTGAGAAGATTTTTTTCCTTATTCATCGCTTATTATCGAGTTAGAAATATTGTTCATAATCATATTCTTATCATGTGATTGATTTCTCATATAATTTTGTCTCAATTCATTCTGATTGGATTAGTTCCTCCTAACTAGTATGAAACCACGTAACTGTATACATATTGGAGTTCTTTAATTTGCTCCTATAAAATACAATTCCAAGTGCTTTATAGCAAACAATATTCGTGATTTGATAGCCCTTTTCTTTCCCAATATCGATCCCATTATACACATCTATATTCTGTGCAAAATAGTGTCAAATATTTTACTAGTTCGAGTTTAATGTCAAAGCATGCACAGAAGAATCTCACCACTGAGAGGAATGTTTAATACTACTTTGAGATAGTGTACATATGCCATTCCCTCAACAGAATGTCATTGTCCAACCGTTTTATAGAAAGGGAGGCATCGATCCAACTTACAAAGTAGCTAGCTAGTCTCTCTCTGCAAAAAGCTTGAATATTTTACATCATCAAAAGCACACACAACTAAACAGATGATTATCAAATCTAGGCCTGGGAAAATAGACCAGACCGTTAGAAAAACCGTGGTCCAAACCGTACTGCACAGTTTGGTCCGGACCGTAGACCGTGAAGTATGGTCTGGTCTGGTCTGGTCCATGGTCTGTATTATTTTATGATTTGATCTCTTGGTCTGGTCTGGTCTAGACCGCGGTTTACCGGACCAAACCGTAGACCCAACTGACACACAATACGTGTTAACAGCTCATTCGACCACTCTCCAAACTCCCACAACGACACGCAAGTCTCAACCTTAATTTTGTGAATCTCTTCCCTCCTTCATTCACAACCACATTTAACCACATAGTAGAGATAATCATGTCTTCATATGACATTATGTTAATGTTTATGACATTATTGGCAAGCCGAGATGCTTTTACTTTGTATCTTTGTTATGTACTAAGATTTAGAGTATAAAAATTATTCACGCATGTTAGAATTAATGTTTTAAGGCAAATAACAATTATTTTTCTTGGTTATTGGTTCAATTTTTTGTGTGGTTGACTAAACAAATTATTCATTTTTCGTTGAGTGTGGTCTATCTGAACCAGACCAGACCGAACCAGACCGCACAGGCGTGGTCTGGACCAGACCGTATAGTCTGTGGTCTGGTCTGTGGTCTATACTTTAGCCTCTCGGTCTGGACCGTGGACCGTATATATGGTCTGGTCTGGACCAGACCGCACCGTTTCCCAGCCCTAATCAAATCATTCAAATTAAATTCGGGTAAGTGAATTGGCATCCTTCAGAAAGCAGAGCGAAACAAAGCCCTGTAGAAAGTTGTAGAGATAAGAATATGATAGCTTATGAGTTCATATGGAATCGATCTATCATCATCTATCAAAGTTACCCTTTGCTTTCTCACCTCCTAGCTCGTGTGCAACTTACAAGAATATTCTGGGAAGATTATGAGCTTCATGGATATGTTCGACATATCTTCACCTCTTTTTGATGAGCTTGTGTACCAAATCCAACTTGTTATCAAAAAATGGTTGGTCGAGCATCCGAACATAAAGACTACTCTGTCAAAAGTTCGATACTATATTAATAAGTGAGAATTAATTGATCCAGAATTGTTAGAAGAGATATAAGAATAATCAGCCTTATATCATTTCCTTATTTCCTTTTTTTGGTAGAACCTTATTTCCTTTTTGATTAAGGAGTGATCTTAATTCTTAGGGATAACAATTACTCATCTATTGATAATTTTATCCAAATTCAAGTAGACTCATTGATTATGGGTTAGGGTATAGGTGAAGTAAATATGAGTTTGGAGGGTTGTAGATGGGTTTGACCTTTGGGTAGGACTTGGATTTTGCTTCCATAATCTAAATAGGTATGAGTTGGATATGGATACCCATTTGGTTGAGAGTGTTTTAATTACGTATGGAAAAATTGGACCTATTTGTAAAATTTTAGAAAAAATTATGCATCAAAATATAATACTAAAAAAATTAGGTACCAAAACATAATTTTCTATTGATATTTTAAGGACTTATATAAGAAAAAATTAATTTTAGGTACTAAATCTAAAGATTTAATAAGTTTAGGTACCAAACTGTAATTTTCATAAGGATATGGGTAATACCCAAATTCATGAATAAAAAATCCAACTCAACTCAAATAAATGGGTATGATTACAAACTCATCAAACTCTAACCATATACCATCGTTTTGGATTCATATCCAACCCAATTAGGTTGGATAGCAAAATACTCATGAGTATGAGTAAAATTGCTATAAGCAAGAGATCACTATGATCTCTTTTATGCGGTCTCTTGCCTATGAGGATTGTGCAACTGTGCAAGTGGTTTTTTCCTTATTTTTCTTCTACTTTGTTCTTACTTCTAAGATGTGCTTTTGTTTTTGTGTCTTTTTTACAGGGGTGACTATTTGGTTCGAGGTTTTTGGTTTTACCCAAAACTGGATCGTATAACCTGGATCGAGACTGGACAGAGATCGGATAACAAACAATCCAATCTCGTTTTCGGGCTTAGATTTTAGGTAAAAAATTGTTCGGGACTGGACCGGAAACCGGATAAAGAGCGGATAAGAGAGCTCAACACCCAAAACCTAACCAACTTCTCACCCTTTCAGGCCTCAGCCTACTCAAACTCCCACATGCTCAATCTAAAATCAAAACTGGATTAGGACCGGACCGAGTCAAACCCGGATTATATCCAATCCCATATTTGGTTCTCATGTTCCTGAAAAGACCAGACCAGAACCGATTCAATCCGGGTCAATTCAACCATATCAAACCGTATAATCACCCCTACTTTTAAAATTTTTATGTTTGAATTGTGGGTTGCTCTACTGATTTGTTACCTTTTCTTGTTGAGAGTTTAGTACGGCTTACACTTCTTGTGTGATGCGCCAGCTACTTTTTTAAACTAATAAAGCTTCAAACACTTTCATAAAAAAAAAATTAATAATTTGAGTGACCAAAATTGATATTAATTTTTTCAAGTAATTAAACATAACACAATTTAGCTAATATTCCCAGTGACCAAATGTAGTATTTATCCAAAAATCTACACAGCTAAATGTTGTACTAGTTTAGCACCACTCCCTATCATAGTGATTTCTGAAAAAAAAAAAAAAAAATGCAGAGAGGCGCTCTGTCCTCTCTCCTCTACCTCGGCGAATGGCTGGGGCAATGGATTTGGAAGTTAATCTGGCTGCTCGGTGCTACGTATCTCGTAGCCGAAGAGGCTCCCGGGCAGCACTCTTGGGTTTGTGAGCCTGATGCTGTGCTAATGACGTCCCCAAATTCTAAGAGGGTCGCCGGAAAAACACCCCTGGGGTGCTCGAGTCGTGGGACTCACCGGAAAGCGACAGACAGGAACAATTGCAAAAGGAAAAGAGATAAGATCATGGAATCCGATCTTATGGTTTCGAAAAAACGGAGGCTTCGGCCTTTAGGGGGGTGGCGATTTTGGTTGCCACCTTCGTCAGATATGGAAGATGTAAGTCTGGGGCTGAAAAACTGTAATTCCCAGAAAAGGATGCCTGGGTCAGTTGGGCATTGTGTTCACATAACACCCTTAGGGGTGCAAACTAAAGCGGATCCGACGACGCCTCCTGATGAGGCTGGGAGATCGGATCCTGGTCGAAATTCGAACGAAAAGAAAGCTCCCTTAGGGGAAAAGATGGTTTCCGATATCTGGGAAAAAAAAAGCGGTGGAACTCCGCCCAAATTCCAAATCGCCGGCGGATATCGAAGAGCAGAAGGCGGCAGGGTCGGTAACCGTTGTCAGCGCCGGTGAAGAATTGAAAAAAAGCGAAAAATTCTCATCCTGGCAAATATCCAACCCGGATTTGCTGGGATTGATATCGGATTGGAGGGGGAGAGGGGAGATTCGGAATAACAACCGTTCCTTGCCAGCTAATCTGGGGAAGCAGAGTTGCACTCCAACTCTAGTAGGAAAATCCGGAATTAGAGGTACACGACTTTGCCAGTCCCCTTGGCGGTCACCCTCTTTAAATATCCACCTCCTCATTGCAAGTTCCCTACCCCATAAGAACAAAGCTGGTGCGAGGAACGTGTTGGTGCCGACTCGACAGAGAGTACAACTTGCTGAACACGAAGGAGAAAGTTCGTCAGGTATAGCGAACAGTCCTCAAACCCCTGCTCCCCCCGTCCATACTGCTGTTGATTCTGTACTCGTAACACAGCCAAAACTTTCCAGTTATTCGTCTCATACTGTTCAGGAGAACGTCAGTATTCCAAGGGAGCTGTCGTGGCCTAGGCCTAACCCTGTTATCCCTAACTCTTTACAGGATACTAAGATGGTTCGCATCACGGAAGATCAGGTTGTTCAGTTTTCCCTGGAAGAGGTGCAATCGGCGAAATTCCGAGCTTCTCGATCATTGCTGGGCCGCCTTTTCACTGATTCCTTTGTCACTCCAGCGGAACTGCGAGAGGCGCTGATCACTGCTTGGCAAATCAAGGGCCAACTACGCGTCTCCATCGCCAAACATGGCCTCTTTGAAATTGTGCTGCCATCCACAGAAGCACGGGTTTGGGTTCTCAAACAAACCCCGTGGGTAGTCTTGGATGCCATTCTCCATCTGCGGACATGGTCCTCGACCATCACTTTGAGCACGTTTGAAGACTTGGCCACTGCCCCTTTTCGGGTTCAGCTTTGGAACGTCAGGGAAGACTGCTGTACCAAACAATTTGGTCAGAAGATGGCGCAGGCCACCATTGGGCAAGTTCTGGAATCCGGTGTCTTTGCTTCGAATGAGACCAATGAGCAGTTCGTGAAGGTGAGGGCGGTGATTGACTTCACAAAGCCATTGCGATCCCAAATCATGGCTGCCAGTGAAGAATTGGACACCTTTTGGGTAAACTTGAAATATGAATTTTTGCCGACACTCTGCTACCACTGTGGTCGAGTGGGGCATTCGAAACGGACATGTGCTTTTGATCCCCCGGCTGGACAAGAGAGGTTTGGCCCTCACATGTCAACCCGCAAGATTGGTCGACGAGTTTATGAGCAAGAGATGGAGGCAGGGAACTTCAGGAAAAACCATACTTCGGTTTGGGTTAACAGGAGCGCGCCGATGCTCGGTGATGGTCCAAGGAGGGCCCAGGGGAAGAACTTGGTGGAGGAACGTGCTGTGGGTAGGCGGGATCATCAAGCTGCTAAGAAGCCAATAGGTGGTACTCTGGACCAGATTCCCAAAACTGCCGAAGTTCCTGTGATGGAGGCGAGTCTGGCTAGGGAGAAGAAGCCGGCTGTGGCGAAGGAGAATTGTGTTACAAGAGCCCCTGGGAGGCAGAGTAGCCCAAAAGGATTCTCGATCAGAGGATCCCCTGCTGTAAAAATTGGCGGGAGAAAGAGAAGTAGTAAGAAGTCGCCGCGAGCTATGGGGTTTGCTGATCGCGCAACCCAAAAGAAGAGTGAGGACCGAGCAAGAAATCGCCCTACCCGTCGGGCTCCGGAGACTAAGCCGGACGAGATCTTCGTGGAAACTCGTCGGCGCCGCATCATCCTAGAAGAAGAGTCTGAGGATGAAACTGTGGGGCTAGGGCTGGTGGACTCCTCCTGTCCGCCCATTCGGGCCCTGGCGGATCCCCCGACCTCGCCAACTGAGAAGGGCGTGATGAATGGGGAGCTGAAGACGAAGGGCGGTGCTGGGCAGCTGGAACGGGCATCTCGCCCTTCTGTGGAGAGGACCAAACAGGCCGAAAGAGCGACCAGAGAGGCTGATGGGCCTGGTCGCCGCCGGTTGAAGAAGAAGGCCCAATCCTTGGGGCTGGTAGATGCGGAGGCAGGAAAGGAAAGAGAGGGCCCTCATGATGATTCTGATGGGCTTGAAAATGCGGCCCAAGAGCAAGACAGCTTCCAATCTCCTGATGAGGCCCTGGCCTATGAGATTCGCCGGAGAACACCGGTAGGAGATGCTGGGCATGCTAGCTACCCGCCTGCGGGCCGGGTCCATCAGGTAGTTGAGGCCTTCGAGGCCGGTCTGAATCTGGCTGGGGAGCATGGGGTAAGACAAGTGTCTCCTAATGGGGGCCTGGAGCGGAAATTAAAAGAAGGGGACACATGTATTGCGGCTCCTCAGGCATGGGAAAAGCTAAATGAGTATGGCACCAACCTGCCGATACCATTGGTGGAATCGAGAAAGCGGGATTTAGATGCGATGGAGGGGGTAGTGGGTGACCCGCCTACACCAAAAAGACAATTTGTGGAGTCAACTGATAAGGTGGAGGAAGCCAGCCTGGAGTGGCCCCAATCAGCCAAATGAGGATTTTGGCGTGGAATGTGAGGGGAATTGGGCCATCACTCACATTCCAAACAGCTGTCGGGTTAATTAGGTCGAATAAGCCGGATCTCGTGTTTTTTTCGGAAACTCGGTCGAGCCGGCGAGTAGTCTCCCGTCGTATGCGGGGCTTAGGTTATGATTTTTCCCGTTGTTTTTTTGTTGATGCTGTTGATGCATCTGGTGGTTTAGTTGTTGCTTGGGCCCCCGGAGTTGACACTTCGGTGTTTTTCCATTCCTCTTTTTGTATTTGTGTTCAAATCAATGAAGAAACCTTTTCTTATGTGGTGATTTTGGTTTATATTAGCTGTGACATGGCTACTCGTGCTTCGCAATTGGCCCACCTTCGTGGGATTTGTGACAATATCCACCTCCCTTTCACGATCATTGGCGATTTTAATTCGACCCTTCATGCGGGGGAGAAGGATGGGGGGTTAGTGTGGAATGGGGCTCAATCGTTGAGCTTCCGAGATTTTATTCAGGATTTGGGTCTTCATGATCCGGGGTTTCAGGGAGATCAGTTTACCTGGACAAATAAACGTATGGGAGCGGCTTGTATCCGTGAACGGTTGGATAGAGCTTTGTGCTCCCAGACCTGGGTTGATCAATTCCCGGAAACCCTGGTTAAACATTTCACGGACCAAGGATCAGATCACCGGGCCATCCTCCTAGCCGATAAAGCTTTTGCTCGGAATAGTAGACCCCTGTTCCGGTTTGATGCTAGATGGGCAGAAAATCCGGAAGTTAAGGCTATGGTCCGCTATGTGTGGAATGAGGAGATCCATGGCTCCCCTATGTTTCGACTTTGGGAACGACTTAAGAAACTTCGACATCTTCTCTATGATTGGAGTAGGGCTGGGACTACGAACTCTCTCCGGAACATTAATACGCTTCAATCAGAAATTGATCGTGTTAAGCGTAGCCATCCCATAAACTGGGATATGATCAGGGGTTTAGAGTCGGAGCTCTCTCGCCAGTGGGAGGCGGAGGAGAGTTATTGGCAACAGAAATCTCGAGTCCAGTGGCTAAAAAAAGGAGATAAAAACAGTTCCTACTTTCATACGGTTACGCGTGCTCGTCGGAAACGAAATTTTGTGGTTGGGCTTCATAATGACAATGGGGATTGGATTACTGAGGAGAAGGGTAAAGCGGATATTGCTATAGACTACTACAGAAATCTCTTTACCTCAGAGTCCCAAGTTCTGAATATGGCAGATAGAGTGGCTACTCTCCCTATTGAGAGGAAGGTCACTTCTGAGATGAATACGGTTTTAACGGCAGAGGTCCTCCCTGAGGAAGTTCGGAGAACTGTCTTCGCAATGGGATCGAAACAGGCTCCGGGTTCGGACGGATTTACAGGGAAATTTTTCAAGTCCTTCTGGGATATTGTGGGGGTGTCGGTCTGCGAGGCGGTTTGCTCCTTTTTCTCGACCAGTCGGATGCTCCGGAGCGTTAATCATACTTGGTTAACTCTGATTCCGAAGGTTGACACGGTGGAAAATATGAAGCAATTACGGCCTATTAGCCTTTGCCAGTTTGTGTATAAAGTCATAACCAAAGTCATGACGGAAAGGCTTGCTGGGTTCCTTCCCCAGATCGTATCGGAGGGCCAAAATGCGTTCATCAGGGAGAGGCAGATAATTGATAATATCCTCCTCGGGCATGAGCTAATGCACTATCTTAAAATCAAAAAGCAAGGCAAGAAAGGATACATGGCTCTGAAGGTTGACATGGAAAAGGCCTATGATCGAGTCGAATGGTCTTTTCTTCTTGCTGTTTTGGAGAAGATGGGGTTTAACTCTGTCTGGCGGGGGTGGATTCACGAGTGTCTTCGATCGTCGTCCTTTTCGGTTCTCATGAATGGTACTCCGTCAGGTTACTTCACCCCGTCGCGTGGTTTGCGCCAGGGGGATCCGCTTTCCCCCCTCTTGTTTGTGCTTTGCACTGAGGGGTTTGCAGCTCTCCTCCGGAAAGCGATCTCGGAGAAAAAACTTGAGGGGGTCAAAGTGGCGCCCCGTGCCCCTAGAATTTCTCATCTCTTCTTTGCCGACGATTCTTATTTGTTCCTCCGAGGTACTCTGAGGGAATGTGAAAATTTGATTGTGGTTTTGAACGAGTATGAGGAGCTCAGTGGTCAGCGGGTGAATCTGGCCAAATCAGCTGTTTGTTTCAGCAAAAACATAACAGTACCAGATCAAGATTTCTTGGCCACTATTCTAGGGGTGGGTGCGGTTGGGGTCCATGATAAATATCTGGGATTACCCACGCTAATTGCACGGTCTAAGATGGCTACCTTCCGTTATCTGGAGGAGAAGCTGAGAGAACGATTGCAGGGCTGGAAGCAGAGGACTCTTTCCTGGGCTGCTAAGGAAACATTGATTAAATCGGTGGCCTTGGCGTTACCTTTGCATGTGATGTCCTGTTTCAAGCTTCCGTTGTCGCTCTGTCGTCTTTTGGATAGGCTGGTGGCTCGGTTTTGGTGGGGGGCGGACGAGAACCACTCGAAGATACGTTGGGTGTCTTGGCGAAATATGTGCAAAAGCAAACATGAAGGGGGGATGGGGTTTCGACGGTTTGAACATTTTAACCAAGCCCTCCTGGCAAAGATTGGGTGGCGAATCTTGATGGAACCTCAGTCCCTCCTAGCCCAGGTGTATAAAGCTAAATATTTTCCAAATGGCTCTTTCCTCCAAGCGACGGCCCGTTCACGACCTTCCTGGGGGTGGCAGAGCATCCTGTTTGGGCGCCAGCTGTTGGAAATGGGTTTGCGTTGGCAAATTGGGAACGGATGCTCCGCGTCCATGCTTAGGTCGACATGGATACCTCAATACCAGCTGGACCCCCCTCGTCATAATCCCATGATCCTACCAGCTGGAGGAGATCCTCTGGTGGCTGAGCTTATTATTCAGGGGGAGGGGCGGTGGTGTGAACGCAAGCTGAGTCAGTGGTTTGATCCGGTAACATGCCAAGCCATCAGGAAAATCCCTCTGCCTCGTCATTCTGTAGAGGATAAGTTGATCTGGCAGGGTACTATGGATGGGAACTTTTCGGTAAAGTCGGCTTATCACTTGGCGGTTAATTTGGATAGGCGCAAGGGGGGTTGGAAACCTACGGTAAGTTGGATGGACAAGGCTAGCTGGATTCGTCTTTGGGATGCGAATATTCCCCCTAAACTTAAGGTGTTCGTTTGGCAAATCCTTAATAGAGCCCTTCCCACGACTGAGGCACTTTTGGAGAGGAAAGTTCAGGTTCATCCTCGTTGTCCGGTTTGTTGGGGTGCTTCTGAGTCCTTGGAACATCTGTTCCTTTCGTGCCCAGTGGCGCGTGCTCTATGGGATTATTCGGGATTGGAGTATATTGGGGAGGGGGTGCCCAGGGATCATTTTCCACTTTTCCTTAAGAGGGTGCTGGCTTTGCTTACCCAACCTGGGTTGTTCATGGCTGTGGTGGCTGTCCTTTGGAGGATTTGGCGATCTCGAAACTGGGTGGTTTTTGAAGGTAAGCAATTCAGCTTCCCGGCGTTGATGAGGCAGTGTAGCCAGCAATATGAGGAGTGGGTTGGGCTACCTCCTGATCCGAATCCGCGGAGT